CTACTACTACTACACTGTGATGGTACTACTACTACTACTACACTGTGATGGTACTACTACTACTACTACACTGTGATGGTACTACTACTACTACACTGTGATGGTACTACTACTACTACTACACTGTGGTGGTGGTACTACTACTACTACACTGTGGTGGTGGTACTACTACTACTACACTGTGGTGGTGGTACTACTACTACTACACTGTGGTGGTGGTACTACTACACTGTGGTGGTGGTACTACTACTACTACACTGTGGTGGTACTACTACTACTACACTGTGGTGGTACTACTACTACTACTACACTGTGATGGTACTACTACTACTACTACACTGTGATGGTACTACTACTACTACTACACTGTGGTGGTGGTACTACTACTACTACACTGTGGTGGTGGTACTACTACTACTACACTGTGGTGGTGGTACTACTACTACTACACTGTGGTGGTGGTACTACTACTACTACTACTTCTACTACACTGTGCTGGTACTTCTACTACACTGTGCTGGTACTTCTACTACACTGTGCTGGTACTACTACATTGTGGTGGTACTTCTACTACACTGTGCTGGTACTTCTACTACACTGTGCTGGTACTTCTACTACACTGTGCTGGTACTTCTACTACACTGTGCTGGTACTACTACATTGTGGTGGTACTTCTACTACACTGTGGTGGTACTTCTACTACACTGTGGTGGTACTTCTACTACACTGTGCTGGTACTTCTACTACACTGTGCTGGTACTTCTACACTTGACTCAAAATGTTCCAGGGTCTCAGACCAGATCTGGTCTCTGGTCGTGGTGAATCAGGGACAAATGGGCCCAGAACTGCAGTCTGAGCACCTGTAAAATAAATAAGTAAATAAAATTCACACACAGTAAACAGAGTCACCGTGTTCGCTGCTTCACTAAACAAACCACGGGAACAACAACAAGTGTTTATTTAAAGCAGGACGAACGTAACTTCATAAATTAGACGACACATCGATAATTTGATGGAGCCGACAGAAGCAGCACACGAACTCTCTGGGTGAAGCTTCTGTCGGCTGCTGCTGAGTAACTGATCTAATAACAGAGCAGCGTCCCAGCCAGAAGCCAAGAGATTCCATTAACAGAAGATCAATGACGCACTCTTGTCATCCTGTGAAGACTAAAACCTGGTCTCAACCTGCCCCCTTTATACGTGGGGTCCAGCATTTTGGTACCCACAAATCCCAGTTTATGACCTCTCCGCAGGTCGGGCCACCAAACAGAAAACATTTGCATTGGTATGAAAAATACACATCTGAAGAACTTCTACACTTTTTTTCATGAGTTAAATTTAGATTATCCAGTTTTAAAAGTTCTGAAATACGCGCGCAGCAGCAAATTAACCCTTTCATGCAGTTATTTTAACTCCGCTTCAGGACAAGGTCACGTTTCTGTTTTATAAAGTAGCTCGTACTCATCATGCAACAGTAACGTCTGAATCTGTTCTACTTTTCCAAAGGTGTTATAATAAAACAGACATTTAAACAAACACATGATGCAGAAGAATAAGTATTATACTCCGTACTGTACAGATAATGTCATACTGGGGTGTTGATGCGGTTGTGATTGCGTTTCCACATACATGTAACTACAGTTATAAATACCACAGTCTCTCCTCTTAAATGTGTGTTTTATTGTTAGTTTTCAACAATTGAGCTTAAATACATGCAGAATTTTGTGAAAAGTGTAAATGGATTTCAGTAATAAAACGGACGCCTGCACTCTGAGAAAGAACCAAAACACCAGAATACTCATCAAAAACCTTTAATTGCCAAGCTGGACATGAAATAGAAAAATGTGTAGCTCTGTAACGTTACATTATTATTTTCACAGAAATGTCTTCGACCATGAAGCTGCTGTTCTCTGCTGCTCCAGCCTCAGGTGACCTTCAATTAAAGACAGTTTGATATGTTCTCCGGTGTTTGTTTGTGGGACAAAATGAGAAAGTGTATCTTTAATTATTTTTACATCAAGGTAACCGGAGGCCCGCAGCTCGTCACGGTGGATTCACCGATCGCGTCTGACCCATTTTAACGTCTTCATCAGATCATCCCGTCCCCGCTGGGCAACGTTTTCAACACATCAATTATTTTCCACTAGGATCAGATTGTCCAGAAACTGTTAAAGTGCTTCATGTGTCTGTTTTCAGTAGTTTAGCACCAGATTAAACTAAAACCCAAAAATATTCAGTAACATCGTCTGCCGAAAATTAACTCGCTGGCCAAAATGAAGCTGTGAACATGTGAGGCAGGATTACCAGATATTAAACATTCCTGAATGTACAGCATGAAGCGGGGGGACGAGGACGGACAAAAAGACAACAGGCGGACGAACCCTGAAAACAAAGTGCAGACAGTCCCAAGAAAAACAGACACCCACAGTGAACCTGCTGAGTCGGACAGACGCCTGCAGACAACAGCAGCTTTCCGGTGTCCAACCCCGACGTCCCGCAGTCCCTTTGTGATGGACATAAATGCTCTTTAATGAACCGCGCCGGTGTTTCTGCGCGTTTTGAGCTCATTAACTTTACAAATCATCAGCGTTTCCTTCCATGAAAACCAACCCGGGAGTCCTGAAATCTGCTGCCCATTAAAGTTTAATGGACTTCGGGTTAAAGTTGTTAATGTGTGGCGGTGCAGTTGGCTCGTTCGAGGACGGAGGTCAGAAAGCCAAACAAAAAGGAGGACAAAGTGACTTTTATCTTTTCTAGCATTTAAAAAGTTGGGGGACCCAAAAGAGACGTGTTGAAACGGTCAGGATCGAGATAGTCGGAGTTTTAGTCCCTCAGGGATCTCACTCGGGTCCCCTTTTGTTTCAGTAGTTTTCACAATTTCAAGACCAGGTCCTCCCCGAACACAGAGTAAGACCAACCATGAGTTTTAAAAAGGTCTCTGTTGGGCAGCAAGTTTCAAGTCTCTCAGATTTGCTTCAAACTGAAACGTGTCTCCGAATTCTCGAAAGCTGCGGGCATCAAACGTCCGGTCAGATTCACCGTGTTGAAAACATATTTATGCCCGATGCTCGTTTATATTTCGACAGTTCCTCACAGTAAGTAAACAGACTTGTAGTTAATGAGCTAAAACGCGTTTAAACCGCCTGCACAGACGTTTACAATAGTGTCTATAAGTTAGTTCCCGCAGCCGATCTCCTCCTTGTAGCGGGTCGTGAGCGTGTTGGCCTTGCAGGTCAGTTTGGACAGGACGGCGTGGAGTCCTTTCAGGTGGAAATGAAACTGTTTCTCCAGGTCGTCCTCCTCTGCCGCCGCCGCCTCGACCACGACCGCCTTCTCCTTCCGCCGCTCCTCGCCCTGCAGGACGCCCCACTCGATGTCGTTGCGGATGGACTTGAGGAGCACGTACGAGCTGTACATGTCGCCGACCTGCTGCAAGTAGGCGCCGCCGTTGGTGCCGTTAGCGCCGCTCACCGCCTTCAAGTCCTCTGCGTCGTCCAGCGGGACGTCCCGCAGCAGGCTGGGCACCATCACCGTCTGGTCCATGTTGTTGACGGCGCCGATGAAGCGGTTCATGGCGTTGAAGAGCGAGTTCTTCTGCTTGTAGGATTCAGAAATCTGCATCATGCTGACAAACCTGAAGTGAAGCCCCTTTTCTCCGCCTGCCACAGTCCAGGGCCAAACTTAGCCCGCTAATGCTCTTTAGAGGATTACTATGAGGCTACAGCCAGATCCAGGTCTTAACCAGCTCCCAAAGCTGGACCAGGTTACGCAGGTACACTCACCACGTCTGCCAGTGTTAAAGAGACCGCAGGTTTACCCCGAGTGTCCCCGCTGAGGATGGAGGGCGTCTCCCGCTGCAGGACGCCGGCCGACTGTTTCACCCCTGAGGTCAGATAACGGGCGAGAACCTGAAACACAACCACAGAAGAAGACAGAGAGGGTGCTGGGTGATTTTAAATACAGAGCAGAAGACAGTGAAGCAAACAGGAAGTGCAGCTTTCTATCCGCCAACACAGAGTCCAGATCCCCCATCAGAGTCCTGACGTATCAACGACCCATTAAAAAAAACAAAAATCAGGAAGTCCCTTTCTGCTAGCATCAGCTGGCTAAATGCAGCTAACGCCACGAGCTAACGCTGCGTCACCGGGACAGAAACATTTAGTTAAGTGTTAAAAGAGGCGACAGTGATTCATTCTTCCATAGGAATGAACGACATCTGCCGCGACATCCATTATCGGACACGTGCACGTCTCCTTCCACCTGCGTGCAGCCTGAAAACCGGAGACGTGTTCAGCGTTTTCTGCGGAAGTAATGTTGGCTAAATGTAAACGTGCCGGTTTATAAGCTTGGCACACGTGTTCACACTCTCGGTGACTCCTGTCCGGTCTGTGCGCGGACAGGTAGGTTAAAAAAAACAAACGGAGAAGTTTGTCGAGGAAAAAAAAAAACCTAAACTAGAAAACAAAGAATCCAGACCGCGTCCGATAATGGAACTCGTCTTGTATCAACGCACTTACAATTTAACGGGATCAGAAAACGGGAGGCCGCCGGTAGCTGCGAGCCTCCGCATCTGTTCAGACGTTACCGACGAGGGTCAGCTTGTCAAACTCTCCCGGTTTACCGGGAATTAAACGACAGAACAGCTAAGTTACCGGACAGCCCCCTGCCCTCGTAGACGGCTTTTCCGGGTACCGTTACCTCCCCTGGGGCATCAGATTAACCGGAAATACCTCCGCGGTGCAGCCGCCCGGTGATCTTACCGTGTGGCGGCTCGTTCCTCGGCGGTGTCGGCGTATGAGTCGCTGCTTTCGGCCCGGTAATCTGTCCGGGATGGAGCTCCGGACGGTCAGCGGCGCTCGCTTCGTAGCATCAGCGGAGGAGGAGCAGCAGGGCGGGAGGGGCGGAGATTATCAGGAAGGGCCGCACACAGCCAATCACAGGCGGGCAAGGCCGGGTGACGTCAGGGTGGAACGTTGGAAAAATGTAAACACAAGAGTCTGACGTAAATATTAATTAGCATATTTATTAAAACGTTATTTTCATATCAACAGTAGATTAATAATTTATTTACTTATTTATGGATACTTTATTTTCTTTTATATTTTAATTCATACATTTGTTTTCATATCAACAACAAATTAACTTTTGTATTTATTTATTTATACGCTGTTATTTTCCTCTTTTTCTGAAACGCCATCTCCTGTTATTGTTTGTATTTTGTGTCAAGTGAAATTAATGGTCGTATTTTATACAATCTTTAGTTATTATTCAGTTTTCTGTGTATTTTCTGGCTGTCATTAGTTTTGTAATAAAGTAATTTCATCTTCTAAGATTCAATAAATAAAGGTCACATTTGCTGAGGATAATAAAACAGATGTTTTACTATAAAGTTTAACTAAAGATATGTCTGCGGGGAAATACGTTTTATTAATAGTAGTTGTAGCATTTAATTATTAGATTTCAATGACCCTCTGTCCTCAACAAGTCAACAAATCTAAGTGACTTTTGTAAACAAGACAGAATAAAACATTTTTTTATTTTACAATTGTTTATACATGATACTTACAAACATAAAATATCATTGTTAACACGTGTTTTTTTATTGTTTCAAGTGTTTTTATACTCAAAATTAGAATCAGAAGTTCCAACTTGTCATAATAACCCCTAAGAAAATAAATAGACAGTTGAACGCTGCATGTTCTTTGAGATGTTTCTGTCTTTGTGTTTATTTCCTGTTTTATTTCTCAGCACATGATGTTTCACAGTTTGAACTCACAGCTTCACTCCAAACAGATCGATTTTCTGAAGACGGCTGATTGACTGATGTTTTATTAAAGTGTCTCGTCACTGTGAGCTGCTGCTGCCACGGTACAAAACACTGACAAATATAAATAAAATACTGTTCGTAGTAACAGCCAGCTGAGTCCCATACACATTTATTTAGGAGTGTCTGCCAGATAAACCCAAAATAAACTACAGCACAGTGAACAATCTCACCTCGAGGTGCTTTACTTCAATCACATGACTTTGAACCATTAAACATTTCCATTGCAACTGAAGACATAAACATAATCCCATCAACAAAATAAAAAAAAAAATACAGGAAACTTTTACATTTATTTCATATTATTATTATTATTATTTAATGGTGTCATTTGTCTTGATGTGAACCTCGACAGATTTTCACAATCGGCTTCATGAAAGTGTGAAAGACAAAAAACTTTCAGGGATTCAGGTTTTTTCACAGACACAGAGAAAAAAACTATAATAAATACAAGACGAATGTCAACCGGTTCATTCAAGATGTGACTGCGTTTCCAGGTTCCCATGGTAACGTGCTTCACGGTCCCTTTTCTGTAAAAGAAAGAAAAAGAGACAAGAAAAGAGACAAGAAAAGAGAAAACGGAGGTGACGAACCGGAGAAAGGAGAAAAGTGTGTGTGTGTGTTTTTGTTTTACCATGTTCGACCAGGACTCACTATACTTGTGGGGTCCGATCAGCTTTGTGGGGGCCAAAATCCTGGACCCCACAAGTTTAAAGGGCAGTTTGAGGGTTAAGACTTGGTTTGAAGGTTCAGATTAGAACTAGGGTAAGGGTTAGGCATGTAGTTATGAAGATTAAGGTTAGGGTACAGGTCAATGAGATGTCCCCACGGAGATAGTAAGGCAAACATTTTATTTGTAATGCATTTAATATTTAAACAAATCCCAAAGTGCTACAGGTTAAAAATAAAAACACATCAGACAGCACAGAAAGAAAAAGAAAACGCTCTCCTAAAAAGTTTTAAGGCTGCGTTTAACAGCATCCACAGTCTGCGGCGCCCTCAGGTGGCCAGACTGAAAGCCTGATCTCCCATTGGGTGAGGATGTTACCTGTCACACCATCTCGTACTGGTTGGCGTTGATGAAGCGAGACAAACAGCAGGCCAGAGACATCCCTATCAACTGAGACAGAGACAGACTTCATTCATCATCTTATTTTTCATTTCATTTTTAAATCTGTTTTAACGTATAAAAATCATGATGCACTCTGATTCAAAGCTGCCTCTGAACATGTCAGAATATAAAACATGAAATTCCTTGTTTCTTTTTCCTTTAATAAAATCAACATCTTACACAAAGTACTCTATTACAAACAGCACAAATATGATTAATATCTAAAAGTATTAAAATGGAGTACAAATACACAGAGTATCATGTTTGATCTGTTAGTCAACTCACACCAAACCTAATGCAGTTTTGGAGACGTTTAGGACAAACTGTCAGCTTTGTCTGAACTCTGCTGTATGTTTTCATCTTCTTTGACCAAAATGTTCCTGAAACAGGAACCTGAGGAACTTAACGTCCCTTTCTTGTCTGTCCTGTTTGTGTTTCCACCACATGAAGATCAGGAATATCAGACCACTGACAGATTTCTCTCCCTTTATCCTTGAAACACCTGACTCAGTTAGAAAGAGAGCAGACGGGGATGAAAACAAAAATGCGACTTTATTTCCTAACTGAATACAAAATACAGATATCGTGCACGGCTGAATGCTGAGACCTGCTGTAGTTCATATTCAGTATATTGTTGTTGAGAGGCGTGAAGAGGTGAGTTCAAGGTCAATGCCACAAAATAATAGCCTTTAAAGTTATTTAAATATTAAAGATTGTAAAAGATTAAAGACAGGAAAATATTTTTCCAACACAAAGTGCAACTGTAAAGTTCAGTCTCATATTCACACATTTCATTCTGGACCACGACTGGTCATAGATCCTGCAGGTAAAGTACGTCCAGCTGTAACGCTGTGATTTAATTAACCTCTTATTTCTTCTTCTTCTCTCTCTCTGTATCAGGCCCGTTATGGGTAATGAGGGTGTTCGCCATGATAAGGAGCAGCGCTGTCGGGGCTAATGAGGTGTGTTAGCTGAAGGAAACCACACACACATTTTCCATCCTCACCTCTTGGTCTGAAATCAAAACTGCTTCTTTGGAAAATAATGGAAATTCTGTCTAAATCTAACTTTCTCAAAATGGGTCTTTTATTTATTGTGTTTTTCGTTGTTGTAAAATTACTATTATTAGAAAAAAATAATTTTCAGGCCTGTCTGACTGCTGCCCCCTGAAGGACAAAACCAGAAACTGCAGCTACTGCACAGTTTCAAACATTTTTTTGAGGGACTTTATTTAAGTATTTTCTTCTCACGCTACTTTGTATTTCTACTCCACTACATATCAAAGGGATTTTTTCCTTTACTACATGACAGCCTATAAGTTACCTGTTACTCTACAAATTAAGATTTTTACACACAAAACATTTGTTATAAATTAAAGTACCCAACAATTTATACAAGTACAGCTGAAATGATTACTTGATTAATCGGTTGATGAAGGAAAATTAATGGGCAACTACTCTGATTGTTGAAATCACTTTTATCAGTAAAAAATACTGCTCTAAATTCAGTGCTGTTCAGGTTTCATCTTTACGCAGTGGTACAACTATAATACACTGTGGTATTCTGAAGTATTTACTCTGTAGTTCATTCAGACTTTGTGTTGTACCTGAGAGAAGGCGATGCCAAAAGTAACTCCAGCGATGATTCCCATGTTGCTCTCTATGAAGGACGTCACCAACTCGTAACAACCCTGCAGACACATGTCATTCGGTTTTTCTTTCCTTATTTGTGCATTTATTAATTAATCAGTTTAACTTGTGCATTTATTGTCTTGTGGCATTGATTTATCTGCTCTTCATTGTGTGAGCACAGAGGCACAGTCTGCAATGACTTGAATCTTAGAAGCAACTTTATTATGAAATATAATCACTACTGAATATTAAATTGAAATTTACAGAAGGTAAAACTGTGCAAACACTTTCAAAAATGTTTTAAAGCTCACAAATTCAGACACCAAGGATCGATTAGACTTGTCCTATCAATTTATGGTCTTCCAGTCACATGATCCGAGAAAGAAAAGTGAATTTGTGTGTGTTTCCGACCTGTTTGTGGACTTTGTTTGCAGCCAGAGTGGCGTTCTTCAGGTCTGCTATGCTGCAGTCAGAGAAAGTAACGCAGCAACTGGAAGGAATCCCACTGACCGGAAAATACACACTGCTGAACCAGCTGGTGTAGTTATAAACTCCACAGCAGTGTAACTACAAACATAGAGAGAAAAAAGATCATCTGAAGGTGTTCATTTAACATTTAGAGATAATATTCTGTCTTTTATTGCATTTGAACGAAGGTGTGCTCATACTGGGTGTTTTGTAGCATCACACACATAAACCACTGTATCATCAGCATATAACCGGATCTCTACAAAAGGACCTCCCCAAGATCATTAATATAAAGAAACATAAAGAGAAGTGGTGCCCAGTGGACTGTTGGCTATATTTCTTTATTTGATTTATGGTTTAGATTTTATATAATAATAATAAACCTTTCAAAACAAAGGTACAAACTACTTTACAAAACACTCAACAATATGAGCTAACCACAACTACTTCATAAGGTGATAATGTGTAAAAGGTGGCATTTACATATTGTTTTTCTGCCCCCAAATGGGAAAAAAAAGAACAATTCAAGTTCCACGTACTTTTAGTTGCCTAAACAAAGCAGAACCTTATAAAACACTCATATGAAGAAGTTATATATACGTTTTGTAACACATGGGTTGTTTTTAAAGTCTCTAACTGTGTAACTTATTTTACTAAGTAAAAGGTGTGATAATCTATGAAAAAATTAACCGAACAATGTAGAGGACTAAGAATAGAACCCTGAGGAACCCCACGAGTAATTGCTGACTCCAAAGAGATGATCATATTGCTCTGTGTCCGCTGGAAGTAGGCAGCTGTTTGCTAACATGTTGGCATCAACTACTTTCCCATGTGATAATATGTCAGATGCTGTGTTTTCAGCTTGTTTCAACTTTAAGTTTAAAAGTTAAGTAAATACGTTATTATGTCAAGGGAGAGAGGTGAAGAGACACTGACTCTACGTTGAACACCGTCCACAGCCAGACTCCTGTCATCTCGCCCATCGTATTTCATCACTGCGTCGCTGTACGAAGTGAAGAATGTCCCTTTAATCTAAACACACACACAGTACGTCGTCAGTGTGAACAGCATTATCATTTAATTTTGTGTTTCATCTGAAATATGCATTTTTGTGTTTTTGACCTCATGCCGAAAGACGAATCCAGAGATTCCAGCGATAAGTTCAGTCATGAAGACCACAGACAGGAACACAGCGTACTGAGGAGAGGTCAGCGGTCACAGGTCAGGTTAAAGAAATCATAGTGAGGTCATACAGCAGTTATTTGTATGTCAGAGGTACTTTATACTTCTAATCCACTACGTCTCAGAGGGAAATATTGTACTTTTTACTTCCCTACATTAATCTGACAGCTTTATTTATTTTTTTTTTTTTACATAAAACACACTAGTTTATAAAATATGATGTTTTGTTATAAATGAAACTCCCCAACTGTTTATCCAAGTACAGCTGAGACAATTGGTCAATGAATCAATCAGTCAAACCAATGGTTGAAGTGAACTGTGATGTTTGTAACGTTGAATGTTGTGAAGGTGTCTCTTTGGGTAACTGTGACGGCAGAATCTTTCCAAACCAAACAATCAGTGGATTGATGGAGGAAATATTCAGCAGATTGATCCAGAATGAAAATAATCACAAGCTGCAGTCTGAAACTAAAACAGTTCAGAATGAGCTCCAGCTCAACAACTACAACATTTTACTGCTTTAGTATTTTAAGTACATGTTCCTAATTATACTTTCACTGATGTAACATTTTCAATGCAGTACTTTTACTTGTGACAGATTATTTTCACAGTGTAATATTAGTACTTTTAGCAGTAAAGGATCTGAATACTTCCTCCACCGCTGCTGTTAATCTTAAGAAGAACATAACAGAGACAGACCAGTTTTAACATCCAGGGGCGCCCCCTGCAGGTGGCGAAGCAGCCGAACAGTCCAAACAGCACGATGGCGACTCCGGTGCCGGTGAGGACGTACGGAGCGTTGGAGGGGCCACTGGAGATCAACAACATGTAGGGGCCCAACATGAACTTCCACCATAACCCCACTGACAGCAGGACGACACCTGTCACCTGAGGAGGGGGGGAGGGGCTCTAGTCAGACTGTCAACCAATGAGGAAGCACTTGTCCTTCACCTTTACTTTTGTCTTTGAGATTACGGATAAACAGATATTTATAGTATACATTAAATCGCTTATACTACATACAGTATGAAAAGTACATTTACTAAAGATTTGCACTACTACTCGCACTTTACTTGAGTTTCCTCATTTTATTCGACTCCACTACATTAATTCGAAAGCTTCAGTTACTTAACAAAAAAATATTTTATATACATAATTTATAATCAGTGTGAAAGATGAATCCACCCCACAGTAAATGTAGCAAGTAGGTAAAATGAGGTACAATTTTAAAATACTACATGTTTGAGTTGTATGTATTTGCACAAGTTAAACGTAAACAAAGGACATAAAACTCACAACAATCAGGGTATCAAACAATCATTCACTGCTTTCACACAGACTGCAGACGCTGGCAGGGACACGTACAGTATCTAGTACAAGTACCTCAAACTTAAGTAAATGTACTTAGTCTGAGTTTAACTCCTGGCAGGAGCTGCACAGTCAAACAGAATGCATGAGTAATGTTTGGATGAATATGAATATTATCGAATGACAGTAATAAAATCAGCAGCAGATGGGCTGAATGAGTGTGTGTGTGTGTGTGTGTGTGTGTGTGTGTGTGTGTGTGTGTGTGTGTGTGTGTGTTCGTGTGTGCGTGTGTGTGTGTGTGTTGAGCAGTGACTCAGCATCACATGACTCCGTAACGAGCTCTGGCAGTAAAGTGACAAAGTGACAAACAGACGGGAAGAAGAGCCGAGTCAGAGCAACGTCCTCACAACACTCCACATGTAATTTAATACACACAGTACTGTATGTACAGCTGCAAGTGTAGTTGTAGTAGAAGAAGTACCCAGAGTACAGGTTGTCTCGTTACTTAGAGTGGATGTAAATTTATGTTAATCCACAGGTATCCGTACAGTAGAAAATACCTTCATTAAAGACTATTACCCGTGAAACAAACCGAGGCCCCATCCACACTACTTCATTTTAGTTTAAAAACGAATATGATCTCCGTCCACAGCTGCGTTTTAGCTGTGTAACACACTTTTTGGTATTTCCTGTAAACTCTGTCTAGAAGGACATTTTGGGAGATGACTGTGACTTTCCTTTATTTAGGAAATGCAGATTAATTAATGGCTGAGTTTTGTCTTTATCTGGACTCTGTGTCCAGTTGATGTGGTTTATGAGGACGTCTGTTCAGGTTTGGTACATCAAACCATCTGAGGGATGAAAGAGGAGAAAAGAGGAGGATGCTGGAGGGAGATAAATGAAGGAGGCGTTTGATTTTGACTCCTGGTCGCACCTGCTGCGCCTGTATGAGCAAACAGACGGCGTGAGGCTGTGATGTTGAAACGCTCGACGTCTGCCAGCGTTCAGGAGCAGATAAGAGCGCCCACAGTCGGCTGGAGTCACGTTTCTTTGGTTTGATTTAGGATAAAAGACGTTTGTGTTTGTGCAGCAGATGACAGATTGGGCCTGTGAGGCTCAAACATTAGATCAGGATTCACTTCAACAACAAATACACTCAAAATAAATAAAGCCTTCATAATCCACTTTGTTGCAGCAACAACAGAAAAGATATTTAACTTAAACAGTCTGAGATCCTCAGAGACATTCAAGGGGAGAATACTGATTTTATGTACATCAAATGTAAATTACAAGTTGCTTTTATTATCAAAAGTTAGAAACAATTCCTAAAAAAGCTTATAAAAAAGTGAAATCGATGAATCAAACCGAAGGCATTTTGATACGGTGAAAATATAATTCAAAACTGAAACTAGAATAATTAAATATAGAAACTAAAGAAAGTACGGATAACAGTTTGAGATAATTTCAAGTAAATTATAAAGGATTTAAGCAAAAAACATAAAACCTAACAGGTCCGACTGCCAAAACAAACAGCTCTGAAACATATCAGCTGTTGCCAAACGAACACAGAGACAGATTTTAATCCGTCTGCAGCTGAAAGAAACGGAGGCATGAAAACACAAACAGACACGAGACGGACTTCAGTACTTTAGTCCGTCTGTTCTGTGTCAAGAAAAGCAGTTTTCTGTGCCACAAAGGCAACAACCAGGACCAGAAAAAATCTGGGTCTCGAGAATTGCTAGAAAACTAACCAGGGATAGACAGCAACCATGAACAGGCAAGATCCAGAACTATGCAACAACCAGGGACAGAAAACAGACAAGAACCGGGACGAGAATACGACCAGGGCTAGAAAAGACGGCAACAAGGACTTGACAGCCATCAGGACTAGGAACGTGTCCAGAAAGCAACCAGGGCTGTTCAAAAACTAGAGCTAAAACAAAATCAGGGCAAGTAAACCAGGACTCAGGACTATGTTACATTGAGGACTAGGCCAAAACCTGGGCTAGACAATAATCAGGACTGGGTAATAAGCAGAAAACAGGTTAATATAAGGACTAGGCAACAACCTGGTCTAGGTAACTGCAAAGGCTTCGCAACAATCAGAGCTGGACAACTAATCAGGACCAGAAAATGACTTAACAACCGAGGCAACAACTGAGACTGAGCAACGGCAAGATCCAGAACCAGCCCCAGTTCTGCAACAACCAGGAACAATGTGCATCAGCTGTGACCAGACTTGTTATTACTGACAGAATCTGCTCTCCATCGGAGTCGGACAGACTGGCAGCTCCTCTTGTTGTATTTTCAGATCTTCATTATCGTCTGCGTGTCACAGCTCCGGCCTCCTCCTCATTCCTCACGGTCCAGATAATTACTGAACCTCCTCCTCTGGCCTCCAGCTGACCTCTGACCCCAGCATGCAGACACATTGTATCCTGTCCTGATGTCTCACGCTGTGTACTTTGATTAAAAACTAAAGCTTTCCCTCTTTGTTGCAGAAGAAAACTTTGGATCTCCAGAATATCAACTTCAAATGTGTTGAAAAATGTCAGTTTGTACAAATCCAATGTCACATTTTTACATAAATTAAATTAAAAAAGAACATTTTAGGAGCCGAAAGATGTTTTAAAAATGGTCTTAACCTCTAAAACAAGGATGAAAATCACTACAGTTCCAAATAAAAACAGAATTTACCATCAGAAAATACAAATTGCTGATTAGAAAATGTGTTATAAACAGCGACTCGTGTGATTAAAATGTATTTTCTCACCCAGAAGATCAAAGAGTAGAGCAGCAGCAGCGTCTTCAGACAGAAGATCACCGGTTTAGTTTCCATCCTCCTGGGAGCCATAATCCAACTGACACTGGAGGACCAACACCAGGACTCTCTCTCTCTCTCTCTCTCTCTCCCCTTTATCTCCGGGTCTCTCTCTCCCTCAGTCAAATCCAGCACAATTCAGTAAATCTTGTTGGCATGAAATGAAACATCTGTTACAAAGTCGGTGAACAAAGGAAACCAAAGATTTCACAGAAAGGAATAATAGTGGCACAGAAATTGGCCAAATATTGCAGGAAAATTGTGTAAATATTGCACAAAAAAGGCACAGAAATATCACAAAAGTAGAACAATCATGCTCATATTTGGTGCCGACAATCAGCAGCAACCTGCAGACTCAGCTCTCCACCACTTTTGCAGGGCTCGCCTTTAAATGCTGACAAATGTTGTTCCATCAAGACTTACCAGCCAGTTCAGCAGTAGGTACCAATTTATTTAGAATATCGAGAGAAACCCTTAAATATCACGCCTGTTATCCCCCATGAAAGGTCTGAATGTAAGTGACCCTGAGACATTTCAACTGTTTGAATGAGACGTGCAGGACGTCGTGTGGTTGGTGGTTTGGAGGTGACGGTCACAAACATGTGACCCTCATTCTTCACACTCTGACCACACAATTAACAAGGAGGTGATCCTCAGGGAGCCCGACCTGCGGTGACACCTCCCTGTGAAGGTCCATCAGCCATGACTCGGCTGCACAGAGCTACAAATCGATCCATGAGCTCAGGTCTTTTTACCCGCTCAACGTTTTAATGTGTCCTCAGCTGTAATCTGTGTTTGAGCTAATGTTAGCGTGCTAAACCAGGATGGTGAACATTAGCATGTTAGCTCAATGTTTTGCTGTGCTGCCTCACAAAGCTGCTAGCATGACTGTCTCTAATTGCTAGCAATGCTACAGTGACATCGTGTTTACATAATTAGTAGCTTTTGATTGGACAGTGCTTCCGCTACTTAAAGGTAACCAGGAAAGACTTTCCTGTAGTAACAACTAGCTGACAGCAGGAAGAACTTTGATGGATTTACAAACAGCTGCGTTTGAGTTTTTGAGGGTGTTTCTCAGGCAGAAAAAAGACCAGATGAAGATGCTTTTAAAAAGTATATTTAATTCATACAGAGCTTTGAGTTCTATGTACCATAACAGTGAAATCATCATAATTTATCATGTAAATCTAACGCACATCAGATTTCATTGTGATGTGTTTATAAACGAGGGTCACCAGACGTCCCTGGTTTCAGTGGCCCGTCCCCGCCTGGAGCTGTGCCCGCAAATGTCCCCGTTTTTAACTGTGCGTTAATAAAGACTGTATACGGTGTTAGCAGACCTGAAATCAGATTTTACATGGTCAGAAAGACTGGACAGCAGAGCATAGTTCAGGTGTGCTGAAAAGTGATTGCCGGCCGAGGGAGCGCGCTCAGTCTCTTTATAGCTGCAGCTGCTTTTATCTGGATCAAACAGACATAATGAGCAAATTAACATCACTTTATGTCCGTGGTCACAATTGTGTGTTAGTGTAACCAGATCTGACATTTATATGATTATAGTCAATAGAAGCCTGTTGTTGCAGATGGATTACGTGTTTGGCAGGCGTGTGTCTAATATGCTTGTTTATATTTGGAAAACAGACTGTAGCCTATAATTAACATGACTTACTGCTGAGTTATATAAAAAATAAAAACATGATCTCTTTTGCAATCATTCTTATGACTCTACATTATATAACTTGCTGTGTACCAACCAATCCAGCCCTTTTTACCTGTTGAAATACCTTTAAATGGCCAAAACAACACATAACATGCAGTATTCTGCTTGCCAGAAAGTGACTGCAGCCTCTACTCATTGACTGAAAGGTAGATTCTGCCTCAAAATTACTTGATTTCATTCAGAAGAACAAAATTGCCCCCCTTTTTTATTTCTATAATGTTATATATTTTAATCACATACTGACCACCAAACCAAAAATGTCCCTGATTTTCATTTCAGAAATCTGGTCACCTTAATATAAACTGAAGTTCAGAGCAAACAATTATTACAGATCTGATGATTAACGCTCGCAGAAATGAGCCAAAACAATGAAATATGATTCTTGTAACAATTTTTTTTACAGTGTAAGATTTAAATCATGTGCTGTATGGAAAATCATCTGCTGCTTATTAGCTTCAGTTAGCATGAAACAGCTAACTGCATGCTTTTTATTCAAGTGTTATTAGGCTAACATCGCTTTACCAACAATGCATCATTAACTGCCACTGAAGGTCCTGATCCGGCAGGGAGGAATCACTTAGTGAAATGTTGGTGTAGAAAATGTCTCGTTATGTTTCTGCAGTTTTAAAATATTCTCCTGTGACCATCAGCGGTAGTTTTCTCTCTCTCACTGGTTGGATGTCCTAGACTTGTACAGACCAGGGGGTGAAGGTGCCAGGTTCTGCAGGAGGACACTGCAACAGAAAAACAGTCGGCACGATGAAATTTATTGAAGGCGATACAGTATTTTGTTTCCATGGTTTGGCCTCTTGGTTCCAGTAAATACAGTCTTATATCAGACAACAGTTTTCTTCCATCTTCATGTCATCAGTTTGTGTTTTGTTGCTTTCCTTTATCAACATGATAATTGTTGTACCGACGTACCAACGTTTCAATTTCAAATACATTTCGCTATGCATTTTTCAAGGTCCATTAATCACTGAGGTGTTAATGTCAAAGGACCAAGGTTTGATTTTTCATTAGTTTTTATTTAGTTTTGACTTTTTGTTTTCAATTTCAGTTTAGTTTTAATTAAATTATTAATTTTTAACGTGAAATTGCTAGTTTAGTTTTTATTTTCTGAAAATGCTGAAAATTTTAGTTTTAATTTTTATTAGTTTTAGTCTTTGTCGCTGCAGGATGCCGAGCTCAGTTCAGTTTAGTTTTTATTTTCTAAAAAAGTTCAGTTCAGTTTAGTTTTTTCACAAAACATTAAAATAAAAGTACAACCAGAAATATTTGTGAAAAGGGACACCATTATTCAGCTATCTGAAGCTTGTACATAGGGGCCCAAACACTAAGCAAATATATATTTGAAGTACTAACACATTGTCTAAATAAATACTACGAATAAATTAAGCACATGCTACATCGACGGTATCATTTCTAACAGACATACAGAAAAGAGCAAACTACCCTAATGCTGCTAAATTCATTACATGAGTCTCTCGCTCCGTCATTCTTGGTTAAATAGGTGAAATACAATAAATGGAGGTGAGGGACAGCTTAAAAACTGGAAGATAGTGTAGGCCCGCCTTGGAGCCACAAACAACAGGTCCCAGCACCCTGAAGGCAAGTATGGCTGGAAAGCAGTTATATCAAAAATCTAAACCTTTATTATTTATATATATATTATATTACGTTTTTATTTTTATTTCAGTTAACGACAATGTTTCTTCACATCTAGTTTTTGTTACCTCGTTCGTCTTCGTTAACAATGATAACCTCTGATAAAAAATCTGGAGTTCTCGAGCTTTCGACCATCTGAATCTAAATGAAAAGAGGGTTTAGTTCTGTGGATGTGTGTTCTTGCCCGTGCACGATCCTGAGCAGCGTCTCTAAACTCAATGAAAACTAAAACCAACACAAACACAAACAGATTTTTGAACACGCTTTAGTACCAGTTTGGTGAATCGGTCGCTGCAAGCGTTGCGGATCCTCTCTGCGGAGGCGGGGCTGTCCAGCCTGAAGGGGCCGCTGATGCCCGACTCTGCCCGGGCCGCGGCGATGGCATCTTTGATGGCGTAGAAAACAGATGCCGCCAGGAAGAGAGGAGGCTCGCCCACAGCCTGCAGAGAACAAAGTAAACATTCTCTGTAGCAATCCAAGCTATCGTGCTTAAAATGTTCCAGCAGCGGCTGGAAGGAGTTACCTTGGAGGCGAAGATGGCCTTGTCATGTGGTGCGTCGCGGAGCAGCGAGACCGTTAGCTGGTTGGGAATATCACCGAAGGCTGGGATCTTATAAGAACCAGGACCCCGAGTGAGGAGGACGCCCCGTGGTGAATAATGAAGCTCCTCCAGGGTGAAGAGACCCAGACCCTGCATGAACGCCCCCTCCACCTGAAGACAGATAGAGAGGACATTCAGACCTGAGGGGGGCGCCGCAGGAGCAGGCCTGTGTTAAATGACGACCTTCATTTGGATGAGTCGACCAAAGGTTGCTGATGGATTGACCTACCTGTCCGATGTCGATGGCTGGGTTGAGGCTGTGACCGACGTCCATCACTATGGTGGTACTCAGGTTCTACAGCACAAGCATAATAAAAATATATAAAACAGAACAACTAAACTAAAATGACACCTTCAGAATCAGACAAGCTTTTTCATGGACTGCACAACAGATTCGGTAAACATTTAACATTTTGTTCAAACATTACTGAGGATTTAACCTCGCTGCTGTAGCTGCTAGCAGTTCATGTTTGCTTTGTACCCGCTGATGTACAGACAACAATCTCTGGATTAATACAAGAAATGATCACACAGAATGGGTTTGTTGCTTTTTAAAAATGGTTTTCTATTGGCAGTCAGCATTTTCAAAGGAGTGCTCTGAGCATGAAGTTGGAAAAAATTTAACTCTGAGCAGAACAACACCCAACGTCTTTTGCAATCTAATGAATGGAGAAACGGGCCTCAGTCGTGGTGCTTATATTTCCAGTTGCTTGGACTGTTTGGAGACAAACTGTCCCCGACTCATCCTAAAATACGCCTTGAACCGAGCCTCATTAAGACGAAGCCCCTGGACCAGCTGGTGGTGCTACCAGCGGTGTCTCCCCCCGCGTGTTTCACCCTCATTGCCCATTTTATTAAGCCGATGTTTTTAGCAACAAAAGACACAGACTTTCTGCTAATATGACAATGTCAAGGGCGTCACTTTGTGTTGAAAAGCAGTGGGGACGTAAGTGCTCAGACTAGGGGCGTGATGATACAATTGGATCACGAGACGTGACGATGCACGAGAACAAGACGAGAAGATTTTTAACACTATTTGAATAGGCAATGGTGAAATTATTGGATATGGGTTCCTTCCCCAGAAAATTTGAGCATTAAAGATTTAATTTCCTGCATTCTGGAGACGTTTTCTGCCCCAATGCGTGGTGGAAATGTCTTTTTCTATGTAAAAGGAAACAAACAGCTTTGGTGGTGACATATTTATAACAGAATATAATGCAGAAACCAGCTGCTTGTTTATTTTAGCTAGAGATTTTTTTTAGACCTTTGTTCATCAAATCTTTATCAAAGCATTTTCATTTGTTAGTTAATATTTCTTGGTGCTATTTTTCAGAACATTTTTAACAAATGCTTCCAAAATGTGGTGGGGACGTGTCCCCAGCGTCCCCAGTGAAAAAGGATGACAGTTATTACTTAGCAGCAAAGAACACAGATCACTGGTGCTATAATCTTTGATTAGGCTGACAGCTGATTTGGTGGTTGGCTGGCAACTAAAAAAAATGTTTTTAAATTGACCCTTCGCTAAGCCACGCCCCCCTAAGTTACTGCTGCTAGGTCCGACAAACTGAAGGACCTTTATCACGCCGCTGCCCCTGTCTGTTACTGCACTCCCCGGAGAAACATTGTCTGATTTCGGGAAAAAAGCGATCTCAGAAAGAAGCAGACAGTTTTACAGTTGCAAAGTGCATTTGCTTTTATTCAGGCTGTCAAACAGACTGAAACTGACTCAAACAGACTGAAACTGACTCAAACAGACTGAAACTGACCTAAACTCACTCAAACGGACTCAAACGGACTCAATCGGACTCAAACGGACTCAAACAGACTCAAACGGACTCAAACCTCTCTGGGTAGCGATTGTAACTATTACAAGATGTCTCTGGAACAGCGTTTGACCAGATCTTAGAAAAATACAGCCAAAAAAAGCTAGAAAATGACTCTTTTTGCATTAGAGTGAATGGTGTGCAGCCATGAAAGTGTCGGACCTCAGTTAGAGAGTCATATACTGCTCTGTGATTGGCCAGCTGTGTATTCGCTTAGCGAAGTGTCAATTCAACCAAAAGGGCATCTCGCGTTTTTAAACCTGTGAAGCGCTTTCTGTCTTTTCTTATAAATGCTTGTCTTTGTCCATGAACTTCAGGTTTCTGTGTATTCAGGTATGAGTGAGAATGATGTAAGTGTCTCGATCAGGTTCAAACCAGCAACAGAGGAAGATCTAAAGTTTCTCAAAAGCAGACATTGAAAGGTCTGCAGTGGTACCAGTTACCTACCTAAGATGGTCAGCATGGAAGTGTTTAACAAAGATGTGACATTACTTTAAGCTGTTATTATTACTAAGTGCAGAGTAAACAACATGGGGCCTAATATTGATCCTTGGGGGACTCTTCTATCAACAGATTGGGGGCTTCATCTGAAATCAACAGCAACAGTTTCTCTTTCTCTAAAACAACATTTCATTCTCCATTCTCTGTTTTAGTTTCCTTTCTGGCTGAACTTTACTTCCTAAAGAACACACCTTGTGAGCTCCAGTCAGACAGTCGATCTCCACCTCTGAACAGGCAACTCCGTAGGTGAAGTAGTTGAACGCTCGGCCCGAGTTTGTGTCAAAGTCATAACCGAGATCTGGAGTCCTGACAAGAAACAGGAAACAGTGAATTTTACTTATTAACAGATTTACTGAACCAGCGACTCAGTCTGTGAACTCACTTGTAAAAGCCGTTCGCACTGAGGTTGACTCTGTCGAAATACGCTGCTTT